CTCGGAAGTTAGACCCACGGCGTGAAGGGGGAGAAGTTAGGGTAAGGAAAACCCAAGTGGCTTGTAAGAATATTTAGAACATTCCATAACACTTCAGCAATACCCTTGAATAAGCATCCATGGAGGGTCATGGGGCAGAGTTGGGCATGGGTGGGTTCAAAGTCACAGTTAATCTCAGGTGTGTATGATTTGTTTTCCAGAACAAGACTGTGGTGAACCTGTTATTTGCTGCTTATAGTGGAGATGTCTCAGCTCTTCGAAGGTACTTCTGCTGTGTCCAAATAAATACAATAAAATACTCCTGGTCAGAGATCTCATGAGGAGTCAAAATAGCAAAATAGTTAAGTGCTTCAGCTGTAGTCAGATAAAGTGGACGCACACTGCATTTAAATGAGATTTTTTTTTAAAGTACAGTGCCTGCCATGTGATAAGATTTTAATTAATGGTAGCCACTGTTACGATTAACCTGGGTGTTTAGAGCAGAGTCATAGGAAGTAGGTAAGGACCCTACCTCAAATGGATTACCAACATCCGCCAATATGGACTGGGCACCTACCACAGGTAAGCAGTGATGTTTCTGGAACCATCACACCTATGTAGGAGTAACAGTCTCATCTGGGTAGAGAACACAGATTGTGCAGGGTCTACAGATCTTGGCATAAGCTCTGGAACCCATCCAGTCTAACCCCACTTCAGAAAGGACATGAGTGACTCTAGGCTGACTTGGGTGACTCTAGCTGCTTTCCGCTACCCTCAGGTTTGCCTTGTCAGCCATGGACATGGAACAGAAAGACTATGACTCCCGCACAGCCCTGCATGTTGCCGCAGCTGAAGGTATCCGAAGGTTAAATAAGGGGGAAGCAGATCGTAAGACCCTTCCTTTTCTATCAAGAGTACCCCCAATGGGTATGCCCTCAAGGTTACAGGGACAGCCACTAGTTTTGTCCAGATGCCCTTCAGTTTGCAGGCTGACTACTCATGGGTGCTGCAGGGAGCAAAATGGGAAGAGGCTTTATCCCCTCTGTTGTTCAGAACTCCAGCTGCCAAGGGTCTAGACCAGTGTTAACACCAAAAGGTTCAGGATCTGTAACCTTGCATTTTCTTTCTGCCCACATTCCTAGGACACATCGAAGTTGTTAAATTCCTGATTGAGGCTTGCAAAGTGAATCCTTTTGTTAAGGACAGGTGAGTAGGATTAAGCTAAAAGGGAGGTTGGGAGCTGGGCAGCAGCTTCTCCACTACTGCCCTTCAGCCACCACAGTTACGTTTAGAACCAAGGCACTCTCAATGTCTTCTTTGCCTGATCATGGTCTTTGTTCCTCTCAGGTGGGGCAACATTCCCCTGGATGATGCTGTGCAATTCAATCATCTGGAGGTAGTGAAACTGCTTCAAGATTACCAGGACTCCTACACACCATCTGAGATTCAGACTGAAGCAGCTGCTGAGGCTCTGTCCAAAGAGAACTTAGAGAGCATGGTGTGAGCATGGAGCACACACGGTCCCTGCTCAAGACAAAGCAAGAGCTGGCCGCACATTTAACCCACAACCACCAAACATGCTACAGAGAGCTGCGCTGCTTTAGTGGGGACCAAGACATAGGCCACTGCTTTCTGTGAGAGTCAAAACACCCCATTCCCTTGGCAAAGAGTAGAGAGAAGTGCCTCAGTGGACACCTGCTGTAGAGCTATCCATGGAGATCGTGGGCCTCTTCAAGGTATAGCCTAATTGCCTGGCCCACTCAAAACCTTCCCAGGTCTTCACCCAGGTCCCCTCTTCCTCTCCCTGAACCATCATGAGAAAGAGAGATACTTTGATAAAGGGGCTCTAGCCACCATGCACATGTATATACCCACAGAGGAAGGAGGGGGAGCTATGCACCTGGCTTTAATTGTCTGGAGAGATCTGCCCCCCCTTGCCCAGGAAACAGAAATTTTATAGACAGAGAAAGTATTTTGTGCTCAAATAAACTTTAATTACACAAATGATTATTTTTTGCTAAACCCAGTCCTTCTTTTTCTCCCCTAAGGGCATTCAGTTGCATCACCATCATAAAGGTAGAATAAGATGGAACCACAGGGTCAGGCAGTCCAAACAATACATATTTCACATACATACTCACCCCACCAGGTTTTCCTCAGCCTCTAATACTGCTTTAGGTTAAGTGTATTCTGCTGCCAAGGTGGGGGTTGGGGGGCAAGGGCTTGGGTCTGAGCAGGCCCAAAAATGTATTGTGTAAGAGCTTAGGTCTCCTTCCTCCCTCTGTTAGTTCCAAATGTAGCAGAAATGAAGATGGAACTTCTCAGGAATAAAGTTTCTAGCACTAATCCCCTGATATCCTCCAAATGTCTCTTTCTCTTTGGTCATAGTTATAACTGGCCCAATGTTTATAACGGGTTGACCAGATGTCAGAGGTGTGCAGATTAAGGTAGATGTCAGAGGTGTGCAGATTAAGGTGGATGCACTCAGTGAGGACAGGGGCAGTTCTGTGGGGCTAAGAGTCCTGGGGAAGGAGAGCTCTGTTCTCACTGAAACAGTAAAGCACTTCCTATGGGAGCCAGAGCCAAGACTCTATGTGCTGTAGAGAAAGGGCCAAGTCATTGATTGCACCACTCCTCCAGCCAGAGGTAGATTTACTTGAGAGGTTCGGCAGAGCCCCAAAGACAAACGGAAGTCACAGTGAGCAAAGGGAGGGAGAGGTATCAGTGATGAATAAATTCAAAGCTGAAAGGTAAGACCCCGGGACTGAGTAGTCTGAGAAAGGCCTGGGCACAGGGAAGCAGAGGGATTAGAGTAAACAAGTCAGGGAAAGTACATTCATGGTAGCCTGTAAAAATTGGCTGTAGTTTGGGGGTAAGGGAGAGAGAGGCTGTATGCCTAGCTTTGACAGGGTAGGGAAGAGGAAGATGACTAAGGTATTGCACAGAGGACCCAACACTGAATTGTGGGAGCTAGAGATTGGGGCAAAATCAAAAGATTTCAGACATTTTCAGCAGGAGGCTAGCCAAGAGCATGATTAGGGACTCCGGTGATGGGCATACTAGAGGCCCTCAGGCACCTCAAGCCCTGAGTGAGTCAGCAGTTCTCCATCCCAAAGGGCAAAGGCAGGCACCACTGGACCCCGGAAATCTGTCTGTAGCGTGTGGACCACAGCAATCCGGCTCACATCCACCAGGCTCAGCTTCTGGGCCTCATACTCCAGCAGCAGCCCCACCTTCTCTGGCTGACCCATGCCCTCAATAGGGGCTTTTTCGTTGGCCAACATGGTGTGCCACTTGCGCTGAGCATAGGTGAACACCCAGGAACGATCGTCAACACCGATGCAGCTATCCCGAGAGATGTCCACATCTGCCACTCCTATCCGGAATTGCTGGGAGCGCTTCACTGTCACCTCCCAGTAGTGCCTGCCACTGGTGACTGCTGTGTCCGCCAGCACCACTGCCCACTCCCGGAAGCGCTCCACATTCAGGATCAGTGTGGTGGGCTCCAATCCCACCATGCCATATTTGACACCTGTGTCACCTTTGAAGAGTGCCAGGCTGCTGTGGGCGGTTTTTTCTTCCAGTTTGAAACTGACGCCTGCGGGCAAAGCAAAGAGACTACATGATGACAGGGACTAGAACCCTAGAACTAGTGACACATACACATTCCGATCTGAAGCAGGCAGTCAAGAGATCATGAAGAAACAGGGAAGAGTAATAATATCAAAACGGCAAGGGAGTGGGGGCGCTTTAGCATGGGCAGCCCAAGGAGTCGAAAAGCTCGGACTGTAGAAGCCCTGGGTTTGAAAGAAACCAGATAGTGTCCCAGGTTTGGAATCTCAAGACCAAAGCAGATGGGGAAGGGGAAATGACCGGAGGGGGCTCCGGGAATAACAGACAGAAATATGGAGATAAAAGAGTTAAAAGGAGATAATCCTACCTCTGCGGGCTTCCGCGGCAGCGACCCCCAATCGTTTGGCCCCGCAGCGGCACAGACAAAGCGAACGTGCAAAGGGCAGCGCCATCTTGCGCCGCGGAAGAACACTTTACGTCCCTCGTCCGCCCCCTGCCTCTACTCGCACGTGGGGTGCGAGAGGCGGTCGCGCAGTGGGATGACGTAAGGGAGTCAGTGCCCAGCAGGGAGCCGCCATTTTAGTGAGCTCTGTTTTAGTTCTACCCACGGCTGGGTACAGTTTGTTCAGTTTTTCTGTGGAGAGGAATGCTGCTCACATTTTAACTATTGATATATAGGACCTTTAGAGAGATGTTGTAGCAAGATGGTTAGAAGTGATTTTAGAATTAAAAAATGATTGGATTCGAACCTGGCTCCTCTGTGTGGCTTGGGACAAACCACTTCTCTGAGCTTTAGTGTTTTCATTTGTAAAACAGAAAAATAGCCGTCAGACCATAGTAAAAATTAAATGAGAGAATAGCCTAGAATACAGCTTGACAAGTAGCAACCAGTGGGTAAGTTTCAGTGTTTTCATAAATATTAAATACATAAATACAGTAAACGTTGTTTTTGTATTTTCAGTGCTGGGAATGGAGGATTTAACTCAATATTCGGTTTTCCCAGCTTAACCAAAAGTGTCTTTGTTTTGTTTCAGACTGGAACAGGTATGAGGTGTTTGATTATGGAGGGCCTACTTTAAACATTTTCACTTGAGGCAATATCCCTGCTTTCTAAAATTTTCAATCCGTGTACTTCTCAAGGCTCTGCTGGCCAGCCCAACATCAACATCCCATCTCCATGCTCCTATTCCTCAAAAAAAGCGATTTTAGGTCCTTAAAATTTTTTTTAAATAACCAAAAATTTGTCCCCTACCCAAGTTCCAACCACCATTCCTGTGGAGATGGATGGCGCTAGTTCAGGTCACTGTCATCCTTGACCTCAACTGGGGCTTTCTCTTTTAATGGGGTAGCTTCTAAGCTGGTCTCCCAACTTATGTGTCTGCTTTAATCTAATGTCCACATTACATACAGTTAGTGATATTTCTAAATCACAAATCTGATCATGCACTCCCCTACTCAAATTTCTTAATGTACCTACGTCAAATTCGATGGCATGGTCATAAGGCTTTACCTATGACTGCTGCCTACCTTCTTTTTTTCTCACAAAACACAGCCCCTCTCAAAGATCTACAGTCTAGTGGGGAGATATGCGTAGATGAGAATATTGGCAGCTGCAATAGGATGCAGGAAGTGCAATGACTGAAGTGATTACAGGATTCTCAGTAAGCAAAGGAGAAGCCTCTGATTTAGTAATATATGAGGAGAGATTTCATAGTTAGAGAGAGACTTCCCAGAAGCCATAGCTATGGCTTGAAAAGCAAAAGTGGTTAAGGTACCTCAGCCTGCTCAAGATCTCAGCTAAAGTCTTCTGCCCCAATATACATACTTTCTCTTGAGTATCTCGTCTAAGCTAGTGAAGTCTCCTATCACCTACTGGAGAAGGACTCTCAAAATCTCTACCCCATAATTCTTTCTTGAGCTCCAAATCTGTATGTCCAACAGCCTATTGGGCATTTCTACCTGTATATCCCCCCAGTCACCTCAAATTTAATATATCTAAAGCTAACTGTCTTCCTATACAAACTCCCTCTTCCTGCATTCCCTGACTCAGTGAACTGCAACCCATAACCAGCCAGTTGCCCAGGCCAGAAATCTGGAAGTCCTTGATTTCTTTGTCTCCCTCATCTCATATATCTGATTGTCACTGAACCCCTATCATATTATTTCTCCCCTGGAGTACTGCATTGGCCTTCTAACTGGTCTCCTTATGCTCCCTAGTGTTGCCCGAGGGAACATTTAAAGAGGTAGCAGCTACCTGTCTCACCCATTAGATTGTGAATTCTTAAGAATGGGGATTAAGTCCTTTGTTCTCTGTGACCCAGGGCCTCAGTAGTCCCATTAGTACAGAGTAAAGGATCACTGTTTTTGAATGAATAAATGAGTGAGTATAAAGTTTTGTGCCCACATTCTTGGCGTGCTGTGGTTCATTCCTTCCACCAGGGGTCAGCCTGACCCAGCCTTTTTATGGTGCTTAATGTGTCAGAAGAGAGGTTTCTATTCCTTTTAAGCCTTAGGGGTAAAGGGGTGGAGGAGAGATTTCCTTCAGAAAAGTCCTGTCCCATCAGTACTTTGCATTTTGTAATGAGAGGAAAGTTCCAGGATTACTTCTGTAGTATTTCTCCTTTGGTTCCATCCTGGTTGTGAGATGTGAATAGTTTCTTGCCTGTCATCTCTTGGCATTATTTCACTTTTACAGACTGACCATCCATCTGATAAACCACCTTTATCATTCAGATGATTTACCTGCCTCATTGCTAATGAACAAGTAAGTAAATTTTTAACATTTCCATGCATAATAATAGGAAGTGGTAGAATTTTACTTGACAGACAAAAAGGGGAAAGACATTCAAGATATAGGGGACAGCTTAGGCTAAATCACTGGGTTATGAAACAGAGTGGAGTGTTTGAGGAACCATAAGAAGCACAATATTGCCAGAGTCTCATACTGGGGAGATAAGGAGAGCTGATGGAAATGAGGCTGGATTATGAAGAGTTGTGTATGCTGTGATAAGAATGTCTTTCAGGCTGTTGAAGGGAAATGACAAATTATGGTATTTTTATAAAGATAAAGCTGGGGGTTGGCCGAGTGTTGCGTTGGTTAAGAGCTGGCTTGGGACGCCAGAGGGCCCGGTTCAGATCCCACATATGAGGGCCAGTGACACTGCCCTCCACAGCTAAGATGCTGAACAACAGCTCAACCTGGAGCTGGGCTGCCGTGAGTCGCCTGCGCCAGCGTGAGCGGCCAGCAGCCGCAGTGAGCGGCTGTCCAGAAGCCGGCGACTGATCTGCCTCGCCCGGGGAAGAGCGCAACGATGGTGCCAACTTGGGCCAGTGAAGCACCTTCCTCCACAACTAGACTGAAGAACAAAAGGACAGCAACTTGTCTGTTCCCCTTCCCCCAGTTCCCTAGCACTGTTCCCATTCCCCAATTCCCCAATAAAAATCTTAAAAAAAAAAAAAAGATAAAGCTGGCAGCAACATGAAGAATTAATTGAAAGGGATGAGACTAGAAACAGGGTTAAACAGGGTCCCAGGCCACTAGAGTTCTCAGATGAGACATGGTGTGGGCTCAGTTATCTAAGAGGTAGAATTGATGGAGCGCTAGTGACTGGTTAGATGGGAGTGAGGATGGGGGAAGGAAAGCTGATTCATAGGTTTCTGACTGAGGGGATACAGAAGGAAAAGCGTGTTTGGATGGGAGAAGATCACTAGTTCAGATTTGGACAGGTTGAATTTGAGGTGTCTATTGGACACCCAGGTGAAAGTGTTCTGTAGATATATGGATATAAATTTCAAGGGAGAGGTGGACATAGGTGAAGTCATTCAAGAAGAGTGTAAATTAGAGTAATTGGGAGTAAACTACAGGTGCAATCCTAGGGAATACCAGTACCTTAGGTAATACATAAAGTGCTTAGAACAGGACCTGACCCATACTGAGCATTGGTCTGCCTGGCTTGGGGTTGTATCTGACTCCGTAGGACAGGAAGAGGAGAAGGAGGCAAGAACAGGATGGGCCAGTCTATTTTTACTCCATTCCTTAGATTCCCCACTGCTTACATTGTGGGGCCCTGGCCTGAACCAAGTGCTAACTAGAGCCTTTAACTATAGATGGGAGAAGGATGATGCACTCAGAGATTGAGGATTGTTCTGGACTTTGCCAGGAGTCAGCAGTCAGCAAAGCATAACCAGAGAAAGAGAGAGAAGGGGGGCCCTCAGGAGCTAGCCAAAGGGGCTGCTAGGCTGGCCGGTGCTATGCTGAGGCCTTTGTCTTACACAATGGAGCTGGGTTACATGCTGACCTGGCATTCTGAGTATGGGGCTGGGATAGAGATTTCACATGTAGGAGCAGAGATGGATGGTTCCCCAGCCGCTCGGGACCATATCTCTACTCACCCATATTGTAATTGCTAGAGAGGATGTTCAATACTTGATAATCATAAATTATGTTTATATCTGATTGATTCATGAATTGATTCATTTATATTTTGATTTAGGGCAGCTAAGTTAAAATGTATGTATTGCTTGGGCATATCTTATTTGATCATCATACAATCCTATAAAATTAGCAAGGTAGATATTTTTATGGAACTCAAACCTGGGTTATTCTTTAAGTCCTGATGATATGGGCTAGCTAGGAAATTGCTTCAGAAAGGTGGTGAGTCATCCCTGGACAACCTCAGAGATGGTAATAGTAGTCACATGGGACCCACTGTGGAGAAATGAAGCAAGACAAATAGCTCTGCCTGAAGAGTGCCTGAGCTTTATAGAATCACTTGCTCCCTAGTAGGATGGCTCATGCTCCCAATGGCACCTCTCTGGCACTAAGAAATGGGCCGTTCTTTATTGAAGTGGGGAGTAAACTTAGGATCCCTAGCCCCAGGAATATAAAGAGGTTGAAAGGCTGATCATTCATAATCAAGAGATACCTCTGTCAGGGGAGAGATAGATGAGACTCCAGGATGATGACTACTATAAGCCATGAGACTTAAATTACCTTTATAACTACTCCAAGTTTGTTATTTTACAAATCCATTTTCTCCATTTTCATAGTTCCTAGTGGAAAAAACTTTTAAAATATTGATATGCTTGCTTAAGGCCAGAAGAGAGAAACGTGGAGAATCTAGAATGAAACATTTTTTTGCAACCCCTGAAAAGAACCTCAAATACAAGAATGGAGTACCCTAATAGCAAAAAAAAAAAAAAAGAAAGAAAGAAAGAAAAGGTGTGGGGGGAACAAGCTAACCAGAAGGGGAGACCAAGATGAATTGGGGTGTGTTCTGGATGATCCCAGGAATATTGACCCTAGGAATCCCCTGCACTCCCCAGACAATTCCTCAAAGGCACTTTCCTTGGTAGATTCCAATGGCCCAGTTGCCATTGGTCCCTCCTCACTGGTTTACTCTGTTTCTGGTGAGGGATGAGGATGGCCTTCCCTTGCCTTCCCTGGAATTCTTGTCTTTCAGACCCTCTCCTGAGCTTTCCTCTTTC